AGTCCAGTTCACATGTGTCTCCAGATTACGGTTCCCACACTAAATGCCAGAGGGCGATGAGAGCAAAGCAGTCAGATGGAAGGAAGACAGCTGGACATTTCTGTCACACTGGTCCCGCTGAGTCCCAGCCCTCCAAGTTGGCTGAGCCCTGCAGGACCTGGCTGCTGAGAGAGGGCGTGGAAACTCTGCAGCAGCTTGACTTTGGCCTTTCACACTGTGGCCTCTGAGGTATGTGTGGACATCAGAACAAAACGCACGCTGTGGGACTGTCGAAGTGCCAGCTGGGATTTAAAGAAAATCATCAGTGTGGCATTTCCCACAGGGCAGTGGGGCAGTTTATTCCCTGCAGGAAAATCAGGGGGCAGGAGGGGACACAGTCCTTAGGCGTGTCTGGGACTCGGCGGTGTTATTTTGAGATGCACGCACCCACTCAGGACCCGCTGTCACACCTACAGGACCCACAGAGTCAGTACTGGGACTCGAACCCATGACCCACTGTCACACCTACAGGACCCACAGAGTCAGTACTGAGACTCGAACCCATGACCCATTCTCACACCTACAGGACCCACAGAGTCAGTAATGGGACTTGAACCCGCAACCCGCTGTCACACCTACAGGACCCAGCAGTCTCTTGACGCCACAGCCTGGGTGGGGCAGTGGGCAGCTGGGAGAAGGTGGGGAGGTACAGAGGCCAGAGGGTCAGTGTGTTTGCATGACAACAGTTGTCAGGGCAATTTGTAAACATGGTGGTTGCCAAGGTTTCCAATGGAAATGCCTCTGACCGAGATTATCCTCCAGGATTCCTGATGGGGGCGGGGGGGCTCGCAGAGGTCAGATCCCACCAGGCTGTCCGGTTGGGAGGGGGCACAGCATGGATACTTCCTGTTTCTAAGGATGTACTCAAGCAGCAACAGGAATTGAACTGCACACAAACATCACACACACCCTGCACAGTCACAGCACTCCTGACAGGGGAGAGACAGGCAGATGGGAGAGAGAGACTGGGACAGGAGAAAAGGAGACTGGACAAGAGCTGGAAACACATGAAGAAACAGGGCAGAGAGAGAGGAGTGATAGTTAATGGCTCTATCAGCGCACAGTCTGAATTATTAACTGCACTCATAAACGGTGAGGGGAGATTGGAGACTGGGGAGCCATTAGCACCAAGGTCATACAAGGCAGCTGTCTGTCTGACCTGGTGAGGTGACCTTTACAGCATCTTCATAGAAGCCACTGTGAAAACCCGCTAGATTAACACTCCTTCATCATCATCA